CTGATCAGAGGCCTTACTGACAGTTGCAGTTTATCGTCTTACCCAGGACGCGGATGTAGTTTATTGTCTTACCCAGGACGCGGATATAGTTTATCGTCATACCAACGACGCGGATATAGATTATTGTCATACCCACAACGGTATGAGTACCGGTGCCCGGACGTGAACCATTGACTACTGTTAGACATTTTGACGGTCGTCCTCGAGTATAGAATCCAGAGGTTGGCAGTGAATATTTCGGAGACAGTAGGAAAGCGTAGTGCAGGTTCGCAGTGGATATCGCAGCAAGGTAGCAGAGCGTAGTTCTTCCGTCTGTCATGTTCGCCTGAGAAGTTGGCTCTGGTCATTCCGGTAGGAAAAACAAAGATGACCGCCTTTATACACGACGGATACAGTGTTCTGCGGCTTCTGATTGCTCAACCGATTGGTCGACTATAAAGGGAATTAAGTCATTTTGACTCGCTCACTAGTTACCTCCATATATACACAAAAAACTGTAACAACTACCGCCACGCAGCTGTGAACGTAGGCTCATAAATTATTCTCGAACCTACAGCACATTGTGTTTCATTTTTGTTATCAGTAAAAACAGAACGTCCCAGGGTCATTGAAATTGGTTTGAAAGCCATTCTACCATTCCTTTCGGTGGATTTCTGCGAGACATCAATATGGAGCGTTAAAACATTTCGGCCGACGAACTCTCCAGCCCTAATTTTGTTCTTGCTATCATTTGCGATATATATAATGAAAGAGTTAACGTGCCACAAGTACGCACCCACGTATACACACACATACGTACGAAAGCAGACACACATGCGTGAGCGGATACACTTACACACATACATATGTAGATACTTACACTCGTGTACAAATATATGCACTCACACACAGATGCATACGCATGGTCTTTTCATAGACACATACACAAGCATAACCACACGCATATTTACGCTTCTGAACACACATATGCAACCATAAACTTACTGTGGTTGGTCATTAGAGTTGCTAGCTAATCCCTGTTGCTGACACATTCTCGGGCACATTTGTGTTCACCACTCAAAAAGGCAAATATATTGAGCAGGACTTAGTTACAGTTTGGAAGAGACAGGGCGTATAATCTGGCGTGATCACCGATTTGAACAAGGCCTGTGCACTTAAAATCTCGGTCACGATGACTTGTGACTTCGTGCTCGCATTAACCCCTTAATAAATTGTCCACAGTGAAACTCGAACCTGAGTCTCATATTCAGAACGCTAAGGTTCCAACCACTCGGCCACGTGTCCAAGTACACGCTCATACAAACACATGCGCATACAACAACACGCACAAACACACACATCCACCATTGTATACAGGTGCGTTACATGTCCATACACGCAAATCCACACGTACAGACACAAGGATACAAAAAGCAGCATATCACAGAAAAAAAAAATCGCTTGCACACGTCAGATGCTGGCAAGCGGGCGCGTAAAAGAATAAAAAATAAAAACCCTTTCCTTGTTTACGGTATCATGGCTGGGCTGAGTCCATCAATAAAAACAACACGATCATGGATTACAGTCACGAGGGCTAAAAAGAGTTTCATGTAAACGCCTGTTTATTCAACGATGACACAAGCTGAGAGGGAGAGAAAAAAGATCCTTCTTCCCGAGTAAAATATAAAAAGAACAAAGGATTATATCTGGTAGGCACAAAGTTCCCAGCGAGAAAATATCTTTGAGTTTGAATAATTGATCTTTCATTGGAATCGAAAAACTCAATAAGTTTTCTTCGTTGCTGGACACCATCCGTGTCCATTTTAATCTACAACGAATGCTATATAAACCTGCCAAAAATAAAATAAAGAAAAAAATTTGAAAACAAACAAGTTATGGCTTTTTAAAACCCTTCAGTTTTTCACATTCCAAATAGAATCTACAGATTTAACCAACCGACCGTCGAACCATTCGTCATGAACCTTCGGAATAATGTAAATAATGCAGGTTAAATAGTAGTGTTGACTGTACCCAATAGCCTTGATTGGCAACCAGTCTAGGAGAATGACAAAACCGGTTGGGGGTGGAGCGAAGCTCTACATTGAAAGGCTGAATGATATAAAACAAAAATAACTTTTACAAACACATTATTACGAGGTCTAAGGGGTATTCTTAAACGGGCCTACAGACTCGGAAAAACTCACGTTAAACAGGCCTTGTGACACATCACGTTCTATGTGAAACTCGAGTATCTTTTAACTGTATGTATTCAGTCTCTAGGTTTCAAGAAAGCATGCTGTGAACTTTTGCACACACGTAATACAGAGTGGCCACTCAAAAAATGAACGATATAAAATAAAAATGACTTTTACAACCACATTTTTTTATTATTTTTATAAGATTGGAAACATTCTTAAATCCAGTTTCAAAATCTTCTGAAGCGATGTCCTGGCGATAAATAATTGAGCAGAGCGACGACGGGTAGAAACTGATGGATCCTCAATGACACTGCTATACAGCTTCCACCTCTGGATCTGTGCGCACAATGCGCTTAGGACCTCTTCCCGGAAGATCACCGACTGATCCAGTTCTTTCAAACCGGGAGATTAGGTTCCGTATCATATTATCGCTAGAAGATACTCTGGCATAAAAATATTGCCAATATTTTTTTCTGAGTTTGAATAATTGATCTTTCATTGAAATCGAAAAACTCAATGAGTTTTACTCTTTGCTGGACACCATCCGTGGCTATTTTAATCTACAACAGATGCTATATAACCTGCCAAAAATAAAATAAAATGAAAAGAAAAAAGTTTGAAAACAAACAAGTTGTGACTTTTTCAAACCCTTCAATTTTTCACATTCCAAATATTAGGTTGGTGCAAAAATAATGACGTAACAATGTTGTTTTCTGACGTTAAAAAATACGTCAAAAAACGACATTATTACGTCATTATTTTTGCAGCAACCTAATAGAATCTACAGATTTAACCAACCGACCGTCAAACATTCGTCATTAACTAATAATGCAAATAATAATAATGTAAATAATGCAGGTTAAATAATAGTGTTGACTGTACCCTATAACCTTGATTGGCAACCAGTCTAGGAGAATGACAAAACCGGTTGGGCGTGGAACGAAGTTCTACAGGGTGGCCATTGAAAGACTGAATGATATAAAACAAAAATAACAAACACATTATTACGAGGTGTACGGGGAATTTTTCCCCGGGCCTACGGCCTCGGAAAAACTCACGTTAAACCGGACTTGTGACACATCACTTTCTATGTGAAACTCGAGTATCTTTCAACTGTATGTATTCAGTTTCTAGATTTCAAGAAAGCACGCTGTAAACTTTTGCACACACGTAATACAGAGTGGCCACTCAAAAAATGAACGATATAAAATAAAAATGACTTTTACAAACACGTTTTTTTATTATTTTTATAAGATTGGAAACATTCTTAAATCCAGTTTCAAAATCTTCTGAAGCGATGTCCTGGCGATAAATAATTGAGCAGAGCGTCGACGGGTAGAAAGTGATGGATCCTCAAGGACACTGTTGTAAAGCTTCCACCGCTGGGTCAGTGCACAGAATGCGCTTAGGACCTCTTCCCGGAAGATCGTCGACTGATCCAGTTCTTTCAAACTGGGTTATTAGGTTCCGAATCATGTTATCGCTAGAAGATACTCTGACATAAAAATATTGCATATATTTTTTTTCTGAGTTTGAATAATTGATCTTTCATTGGAATCGAAAATCTCAATGAGTTTTACTCTTTGCTGGACACCATCCGTGGCCATTTTAATCTACAACGGATGCTATATAACCTGCCAAACAAAGAAAAAAGTAAAAAAGATTGAAAATAAACATGGCTGCCTATCTACTGCGCGTTTGGGCAAAATTTGACAGAGTCAAAAGTTTTCATTATATTTGACAGGGTCAAAACTTCTTATTATATTTGACAGAGTAAAAGTTTTATTATATTTTTTTCGATTGGTTTGTAAACAGTGAACAGCATTGCAAAGGTGCCAAAATGTCATATAGAACATAAATGAATGGAATCGTCCGTTTATGTAAATAAGCGGATTTAAGCGGAGTTTGAGGACAGTCAGCATTAACGTCTTAGTTGCACGATCTTAGTGCTTGTCGAACTCTCTGCCTTCGGGCTCTGCCGTCTAAACAAACCCGAACCAGTTATTATGAGGTCTACAGGAAAAGAATTTTGCCCGGGCAAACGGACTCGGAAAAATTCAGGTTAAATCGGCCTTGTGCCGCATCTCTTTCTGTGTGGAACTCGGGTCAATACTGAGTTAACATAAGGTCTTAGCCACGCGTTAAGATCTTAGTGCTTGTCGAACCCGTTATTACGAGGTCTGCGGGTAATTTTTATCAGGGTCTACGGGCTCGGAAAAACCCACGTTAAACCGGCCTTCTGTCATATCCCGTTCTCTGGGGAACACGGATAAATACCGAGTTAGCATAAGATCTTAGCCACGCGCTTATCTCTTGGTGCTTGTCGAACTCTCTGCCTTCGGACAAAAAGAACACAGACGAGACTCTGCCGAAGAGCAGAGTCTCGTCTGGAGACGTAGACAAACGCGAATCCGAAGTCTACGGGGAATTAAACCGGCCTTGTGACACATCACATTCTATGTGAAACTCGGGTAAATACCGAGATAGAATAAGGTCTTTGCCGCGCGCTAAGCTTTAGTCCTTGTCGAACCCGTTATTACGAGGTCTACGGGGAATTTTTACCCGGGCATAAGGGCTCAGAAAAACACACGTTAAACCGGCCTTGTGCTACATCCCGCTCTGTGGGTATCTCGGGAATATACATTTGGAGCACTGAACCCATTACTTTGTATACCTTTATGTAGTAAACCATTTATTTTATTACTTACATAGAAGTTTGTCTTTCTTATTTATTTCTCGCTGTAATCCCGAAAACACGAGATTCAACACAAAGTTAATTGACACGGATGAGTGGAAGCCACTTGAATATCGGAAAAGGTTAACCTGCATCACGATGATTCATGACGGGCATCCAAATGCTACAATCGTGACAGCTGGGCAATGCTCTTTGAACACCGTGAAAAAATAAGACGTGAAATGAAGAGTTGCATCGGAGACGTGGAGGCCGTGGCTTGTACGAAAGGACCCAACAGGCGTTCCGATTGCCTCGTACACCCGAATTCATCCAAGGACTACATGAAAAAGCGATAGAAAACCCAGGTAAGGGAATGGGAGCTTTGAGCGGGGAAATAGTTGTTTCAGTTTCCACCATGAAGTAGGACTTGAATGAGGACCTCCGTTACCGTTTACCAGTCAGTCAGTTATGTGCCATGCGTGATACAGGCAATCATGTATCTTTCGATACATGACTGACGAAGCAGATTTTTTTCCGCAGTAGTTTGGCATTTCTTTTTGCAATAGAACAGTTGGTATCCAAGGCTACAGAACTCGGACTGTCCTGCTATTTACCCATAGCTGAGGGGGTGGATCCATACCTTTCCCAAAGCTCAGTCAGTTATGTGTCATGCGGGATACACGCTTAGAGGATCATGTATCTTTCGATATATGATTGACAAGGCAGATTCTTTTCCAGGAAAAAAGTTGCCATTTTTTTCTGCGGTAGACCAGTTCCCATCCAAGTCTAAAGAACTCGGTCTGCCTTGCTATTTACTCATAGCTGGGGGGAGAAGAAGAGGATTCATACCTTTCCCAAGGGTCACTCAGTTATTTTCCATGCGTGATACACGCTTAGGTGATTATGTATCTTTTCAATACATGATACAAGGCAGATTGTTTTCCTCAGTAGCTGGGGGGAGAAGAAGTGGATTCATACCTTTCCCAAGGGTATTAGTACGTAAGTGCTACCACTTATACAAGAGGTGTAATGGTCAACTTCTTACAGAAAAGGCCAGAGAAAACCGTCTGACAATGACAAAGAAACTCCTGAAGAAGGTGTAGCATCCTGTTGAAACAAGTACTATTTGGTTCTTTGATGGAAAGAATTTTTTTTCAAGACCAGATGCACAACACCCAGAAAAACCGTATGCCGTTTCTTTTGTCATGAAGACCAAGCTTCCAAGGTGCTGTGGGTGATTTCTTGAGTGAATTGGTTTTTGATTATTATAACCTATATGCCATTTTTTTCTATATCATACTTATTATAAAACCCAGGTTGTGTGTGTGTCTGTTCGTTTATATATTGGATCGGATTTCCAACATTTTTCAACCGATTTCAACAAAACTTCACAGGACTACGTAAAATTAACTTGCGGTGGTTCTGACAGCGCCAAAAATTGGAAAAACACAATTCTTTTTCCATGAAATCAATTTGAAAACACGATTAAGAGGCATCGCTGTTGCGAGAATGAAAGGAGGACAACTCATATCGAGTTATACTTATTATAAAAACCCAGGTGTGTGTGTGTGTGTGTGTGTGTGTGTGTGTGTGTGTGTGTGTGTGTTCATTTATATATGGAATCGGATTTCCTACATTTTTCAACCGATTCCAACAAAACTTCACTTTTTTTTGGCAGGTAGTATTTCTTATTGTCTTGCACACTTTTTTCTTAATTTTTACATTTAGAATGCTTTAAAAATTCCATTTACAAGACAATTGTTTATAATAAAATTCTATTCAATCGGTAGACTCATAACGATTGAAAACGTTTTTGTTTGAGTTTGGGTTTGACCAATTCGTAAAAAAAAAAACTAAAAATACTAATTAAGACATCCGTGTCCGTCAACCTTAAACAATAATCTTTGTCAATTTTTTTTTTCAGTCTTTATGATGGTCGATACTTGATCTATCTCTTACTGTTACATCCCCCGGGCAACACTGGACTCTACTGCTAGTTTCCAATAAATTGATTTTTGGCTTAAATATTCACATCTTTTTTCCCTTCTTGTTCGTCTCAATTGTGCGCTTCACTTTTTTGTTTGTCCTGGGTATGACGATAAACTACATCCGGCAGCAAGGCCTCTGAACGGCATGTTTTGAAGAGCGTGAAACCATCTCTTAATTTCTGTTGTTACCTAGTTCACCTTGACCCGGGATAATAGCACCTGTTAGGGTCTGAGCTATGGGTAAATAGTTAACCCCAAACTGGGGTCAAATCACCATGAATGTATAAAAGTACATGTTTATAGTAGGGGTTCCAGAAATAAATTTTAATAGCAAAAAAAAAAAACCTTATTAGCAATACATTTTTGTAAAAGAAATTACTAATGCTCCCAAGAAAATTAAATTTCAACATTAAATGATCCATGAGGAGTTTATATGACGCTAAACAATCTTATTTGTTGCTGAATCCAAATGTTGGTCCACCTGACACGTAAGTCGATGCCATTTTAAGTGGAATCACTACAAGCGTCTTTGAAGTAATGGTGTTAAGTTCCCGTGTCTCAATTCCATAAGTCATCACCGGTAGAACATATTCAGGTATCAATTTTTTCTTCGTTTCGATCGTTGACTTGGGTCTTCTCATGAGAAGGCCTCACTAAGGTAAAAATAAACTTCCCGATAGGAATTAAACCTGTATTCCCTTTCTCAATTTGGGAAACCATTGCTTTAGCTGTAGTGTCCCTAATGGATAAGCCCGAATGAGTGGTTTCTCTGATGAAAAAAAAGATAAGTGAATACTAGTTCGATTACTGTTGGGAAGCATATTATTTATTAAGAAAATATTCTTTTAAAACATTTTTTTTTCCAGAAAAAATACGATTCTAGCAGTCCATTAACTGCTCTTTCTAGCACTGACGGGAGTGTACTTCAGATCCTCTTCAACGTCGGTGAAAAAGAGATTGCAAAGCGTGAATAGAATGAGTGTACGTGGCATGACAGATCCTCGCTGTGAGGACCTTAACTGGTGGAACTATATCGTCTGAACACTATTTAGTGCTGGGTATGACGATAAACTTTTGTCTGTCTTTCCTTCTTGATTATTTAAGCGTTGAAATTTATAAAATTCTCTCTTGTCGTTAATATTCGACCATTTCACTAGCGTCATCATAAACACTGGAGATAAAATTCGTATCTTTCTCTAAATATTTATTTCCATCTTCTTCCTTCTCCCACACACGTTCTTTTATTTTCCTTTTATCTTTATTTCTAACAGTTTTTTTTTTCGGGATTTCTCTGTCTTTCTCTCATATTTATAACCTTCTATAAAATTCTCTCTATCATCGCTAAACCTTTTAGAGCATCATAATAAACACTTCCAAAATGTTTCTTTTCTCGCACTTCTCACTTGTGGAACTCTCTTCCGGCTTCTTTCTTCCAAGTTAACATTGATCTTTAAAAAGTTAAACGCGATATCAGTCCTTATCTTCTGTCTTCTTAATTGTTATTCTTTTACTGTCCCCTGTCCTTCATAGTACTTTATGTGTTCTCTAACACTTCGTAACCTTTTGCGCCCTAGTGGCTTTATTGCCTTGCCTGGGATGAAATGATTAAAAGAAAAAAAGAAAAGAAAAAGCAAAGAAATATTCGTACCAGGCTGTCTTCCTCTTTATCGAAAGAGTTCTAGGGTGTCCTTGGTGTCTATATTTGGAAATACCTCCCCACGGTCTGTTGAGTCTCAGTATTATTATTATATGTGGTTTCAGCAATGTCAATCGTTATCTTCTTAATTCTTCTTCTTCTTTTATTGTCCTCTCTTATTAATAGTTATTTTTCTCATATTCTCTAACACTCAGTAACCTATTGTGTCCGGGTGGCTTTATCGCCTTGCCTGGGGTAAAATTATATATATATATATTTAATTTTCTTTTTTAAAAAATATGATTCCATCGCGACACAGAAATTTCTGTGTTTCAAAACTGAACCTAAAATTGTAAATCTCTATCTACAAAAGGCAGGATGTGTGTGTGTGTGTGTGTGTGTGTGTGTGTGTGTGTGTGTGTGTGTGTGTGTGTGTGTGTGTGTGTAACGAATGCACGGCCGCAATTTTCGACGGATTTGCACCAAACTTACATGTACATGCTCCAAGTTAATGGAAAGGCCAAGACCGACCTTGCATTTCCCGACTCCCATCGAGAATGGAAATAATCGATTTATTCATGCTTCTACGGCAGTTTTCATGTAGTTTGCAGCCATTTTCTACTGGCCAGAGTGAGAGCCTATAGCTGGCTGCCACGAATAGGCAGGAAGATTCTATTGGCCAGCGTGAGAGCCAACAGGTGACTGACACGAATGTTAACTAGAATGCTAGCATGCAAAAAAAATCGATAGCTGCATTCGTCATAAGTGGCAAAAATTTAAATCTGCATGGCACTTTACTCCAATTGGCTCATTCGCTTGCTTAAACTCAACATTAATTCTGATTCCGCAGAACTGGGTTGGGTGTGAAAAAGTATTTGTTGTTAACATACTTTTTTCATTCGATTTTTCCAGTTACGAGTCTTTTTTAAAGCTGATCGTTTTGTGTTCATTTTGTTTAGTTCTTTTTTCGTAACAGATTTAATGTTTAGTATAGAGCTTAGAAAAAATTCGCAGTGTGAGATAGGCAAGAAGTAAGGCATGTAGCAACATCAGCACGGCAAAGGGCACTCCTTTAAAGGCACGGAAGGGCAAAAATATTTTAAGTCAAGTGATAGCGATTGCTGTATGAGTCGTACGATTTTTGAATCAACCACGGGCAAAGCCGGGCCATGCTGCTAGTTTAATTATAAAATTTAAATTTAAAAAACAGAGTTTCCTTTCAGTGTCAAGCTATCCAAACTCTGGATTTTAAGTTTAATTTTTATATTGAAATTTAGAATTTTAGTTTCAGTTTTGAAACATAGAAATTTCAGTGCCGCGAAAGAATGATATTTTTAAGAAAAAGAAAATAATTAAGAATTTATTTTCATCTACCTTTTGTATCGAGCACTGTTTTTTTAATAAAAATAATTGCTAACACCAGATTATATATCTTACTGTTCTTTATTATTATATGCATACATACATACATACATACACATATATATATATGTATATATAGTTCTTAATATATATATATGTATATATTGTTCTTATATATATATATATATATATATATATATACATAATTTTATATATATATATATATATATATATATATATATATATATATATATATATATATGTAAGAACTATATATATATATATATATACTAGCAGTGCGTTGCCGGGGATGTAACAGTAAGAGATAGATCAAGTATCGACCATCAAAAAGACTGAAAAATAAAATTGACAAAGATTATTGTTTAAGGTTGACGGACACGCATGTCTTAATTAGTTTTTTTTTTTTTTTTTTTACGAATTGGTCAAACCCAAACTCAAACAAAAACATTGTTTTCAATCGTTATGAGTCTCTACCGATTGAATAGAATTTTATTATAAACAATTGTCTTGTAAATGGAATTTTCAAAGCATTCTGAATGTATAAATAAAGGAAAAAGCGTGCAAGACAATAAGAAACACTACCTGCCAAAACTCAAAGTGAAGTTTTGTTGAAATCGGTTGAAAAATGTAGGAAATCCGATCCCATATATAAACGAACACACACACACACACACACACACACACAACCTGGGTTTTATAATAAGTATAACTCGATATGAGTTGTCTCCCTTTCATTCTCGCGACAGCGATACCTCTTAATCGTGTTTTCAATTGTGTTTTTCCAATTTTTGGCGCTGTCAGAACCACCGCAAGTTAATTTTACGTAGTCCTGTGAAGTTTTGTTGAAATCGGTTGAAAAATGTAGGAAATCCGATCCAATATATAAACGAACAGACACACACACACACACACACACACACACACACACAACCTGGGTTTTATAATAAGTATGATATATATATATATATATATATATATATATATATATATATATATATATATATATATATATATAATAAAAAGGCTTAAGCCTTTTATTATATCCTTGCTTTGTCCTGGACATTGAGTTCTACCTGAATTCTATCGTCTTGGAATTATTTTTTTTTTATACAAATATATATGTATGTATGTATTTATTTATATATATATTTATATATTTTAGATATATGATTGCATATGTATGTATATATTTATTATATATATATATATATATATATATATATATATATATATATATATATATATATATATATATATATATATACGTGTGTGCACCTTTGTGTGTATGTCTGCATACAATTGCCTTCTATTTATATTCATGTACATTGTACTAAATTACATTTTTAAGCTTTTCTGCCTTGCGTTCCTGAAGAATTTTAACCCTTCTGCCTGAGCAACTGATTCAAAATTCACAAATAACTGCTATGTAATGTTTTACGGTAGATATAAAAAATAGTTACAATTGTTTAGCCACCGGTTGAACGGTGGCTTGGCAGTAAGGTATTCTTCTCTACTACTGTTCAACCGATGGCTGGGCATTTCGACATTTTTCTCTATCACCGGTAAAGCGGTGGTCGGGGCTCAAATGGCTAATGGCAATCCAGATATCATTTTGCTGGTTTGCTTTCTTTTTTTTAAGGATTTGGAATATTTGAAACTTGTTTGTTTGTTAATTGTAAGGCTCAGCTTACAGAGAATGGGGATATGGATGCCTTGTAAAGGAATTGGAAGAAAAAACACAAATTCACTCCGGACTGGAAGCCTAGATAAAGTATATGTTTCTTTAAAATCAGTAACTTCTTGCGTCCCAGTGGCTTTATTGCTTTGCTTGGGGTGAAATGAAATGACCCCCCCACCACCACCAAAAAAAAAACAAAAAAAAACAAGAAAGCGTTAATCAAACTGCTGGTCTTTTTATTGTTATTTTAAATTCATTCCCCTTGTTTTTATTTTTATATTCATTGCTTTATCTCTGTCGAAATATCTTGTTATCTACTGCTTTTGTTACCAAAGAAAAACCTCTCAGTCGAACAAATGTAGCCATATTTCAAATTCCGTATGCTTCATATTAATGTACAATTTGGAAATTTAGATAAACGTTCGTGTCACGTCATAATAATAATAATAATAATAATAATAATAATAATAATTACTGCGACAAAAACAAGAAATGAAAAGGTTGACGAAAGCCACGATTTTCAAAAATTCAAGGGCAGATAACCTAACACAAAGACTGACTTTTCAGCAGAAGAAGAGCTAGCGTTCACCGTTGCAAAACCCAGCGATAATAGGTAAAACTGTCACGCATGTGTGCGTGCTGCACGCTTCAACTGCTCTCGTTCCTCGCTCTCAATCTCTTATAGTGCCATCTGTCATTCGAACATAAAACATCACTTGGAAATGAATGAAAGAAAAAAATTAGAAAATGAATAAAAATCTCGCAATTTGTGCCCCCGGAGTCGACATTAAACGCAAAATAGACCTAAGACCTTTAAATAAGAAAGTATTTTTTTTATATCTTTTATTTTTTACGTAAAAAAAAAAGTAATAGAAAATATATTCAGGACTTCTGTACCGCCATATGTCGTCTGGATTGCCTCGGGCTTTTGAAACTAGTCCTAAGCTTCGGCCTGCGCAGTCAACGGTGAAAAGGCGGGATTTTCTGTATAAATGCACCAATGATGATTCTACATCTGTTCGTGTTGCCGGGACCGCATCGCAGTTCACATCGAAGACAATGCGCCCCGAGAAAATAGATCTACGGCTAGTGTTATGAAAGGTCACAGTGCCTGAATTGCCGCTATAATTCAATGGCGGCTTTCAAAATCGTCTGTATCTGGTGAAATGGACACATTTCATAATTCTGTAAGTTTGAATTCTCAATAAGTGAATAAAAAGTGAGTCAATAAATGTATATGGACAGTTATTAAAATGACATATCGTGTATATCCTTGCGTCGGCGTGTCCTAGTGTCTGTAGACGTATATAAACGAGCTTGTATCCGAGTGAAAAAAATTAGCGAAACGGATAGATAGATAGATAGATAGATAGAATGAATGGAACTGAGATAGATAGATAGATAGATAGATAGATAGATAGATAGATAGATAGATAGATAGATTTTCAGAGTAACCAGTATTCTGTTTTCGCTTTTCATAGCAATGCTTACTGTGACGTTCCTAGTGGCCGAGCGGTAAAAGTACGCCTGATTATATATATATATATATATATATATATATATATATATATATATATATATATATATATGCGTACTGATCGTATATATGAACCGTATGATATGCTATAACCGTTCAGCTACAGTGAACCTCTCGTTTAGCAATGCTCGAATTACTGTTTTAAAAAACACACCTTCGTCGATTTTTCGATCTATCCTATCTGCTATGAAATCGTAGTCTAACGTAAACAATGACAAAATATTATATGAAATGGATTAAATATATTTGTTGGAATTTTTGGGTACCTTGGTGTACTAGTGAGCCAGCCAAAATGAGCTGACTCACCAATAGAAGGGTTAACCAATCAGAAGGCTCAAAATATTCAATGCGACATGTATAAAGGCGGCCATGTTTTTCCCGAATATGCACTGCCAGCCTTTGATATCGAAGACTGAAGAATTACGGAACAGCTGCTGGTGGTATTGGCGATATAGTCAGATTCAGTAGAGTGTCTGACTCGTGAGTATTAATCTTTAACGTTGTTTCATTGAACAGATTACGTACTGCGGTGTATTCTATATTCATAAACTATGGTGAACATGGTTAACAATATTTTCTGTTTATAGAATACACATATTTTGAGTAAATACACAGCTTTATATATATATATACTAGCAGCCATACCAGCTGGTCGGTCTGAAAAAGCGTTCAATTAGAATGGAGCAAAAACAACATCATGTTTAGATGTAACAGACTCTGACTTCTCGAGTTACTTTAAAGCATTTTCATTAAAAAATATTTGGAATTTATGCAATTATTGATATAACAGAAGCAGTCTGTATTTTTGTGTAACTTTGGTGATATATCCGTTAAAAGGAGATCAGTGTTATTTTTAATTTTTGAGTAATTTAGTCGACAATTTATCTATCACACTCTGTATACAGGGTGTTCCTGATTTCCCTATTTCAATGAAATGGGCAATTAAAAAAAACTGACACAATTTTATGTTTATTACTTAATTATTATATAAAACAAACAGATTTATAAATCTGACGTCAAAACTTCATTGAAAATGTTCAACATGTCCTCCGTCTGTGTTGCTATAAGTTTCAAATCTATCCTTAGCGTTGCGAAACACATTTTGAAGCATTTCCGGAGTTATCTCCCCCTGCAATGCTTACTGAATGCTTTCTTTAAGCTCACCTCAACTATTGATATTTTGGCGATAAACCTTTGTGTATAGGAAACCCCGTGTAAAGAAATCCGGTGGAGGAGTTTCAACAAAGATGAGCTCTTATTTATTCATTATTAATAGGGTGCTAAAAGGAATAGAAATAAAATTAGAAAAGAAACATATATATATATATATATATATGTGTGTGTGTGTGTATATGTAGATATGTCTGTGTATATATATATATATATATATATATATATATGTAAAGTTGATATATATATATATATATATATACGTATATAGGGTGATCCAAAAAGACGGGAACTTTTTAACAATCCAATAAAACCAAGAGTGATGGAAGAAAAATATTTTATTGATAGTAATTGAAACCTTAAAACATGCCATTTAAGAAGCAATGAATTTTCATTTTTTTTTTAAATTACGTCCTGTAGATGGCATCCTCCTGTACGAATGCATTCTTGAAATCTGCTGTTGAGATTTCCTCATTGACTGCTGCAACATCTCAGCTGGGATACTATGAATTTCATCTTGAATTCTAAATGGCGAAATGTTTACTTGCTCAAGGTCACTGTCTCGCAGTGTTGCCACTTGCTCATGTCTGGCAATACGCACTTCAAAAATTCCCGTTTTTGGGGGTCACCCTGTATATGTATGTAAAGCTGAAAAGATTTTTAAATATTTATTTTTATAAAATTGTTTAAGGAGATGTTGGTTGTTGTTTTGAATTGAGTCACGTTGACACACATTCAAAACTGGCTCTATTTACTTAAATTACCGCCCCTTAAAAATAGTGGGGGCGTCAATATGAAACGAATCGTCGGCTAATTGAAGAAATCAAGAAGTCCCCAAACAAAGTCAAGGCAATTTCGAAAGAGTATCGTTTCGAACGAGTCTTTGATCTGGTGATAGAACAGAAAGGAACAAGAAAAAAACATTTCACTTGACTTGATTATTTCCACGTGTTGACATGCAGAGAAAATAAAGAGAAAATAAAGATCTAGATTTATAGCTTACACATTCACACATCTCATTTCTATATGTCTCTCTCCCGTACATATATATATATATATATAGAGAGAGAGAGGGGGGGGAAGGAGGGATTAAAGTGAGTTTTAAATGCAAAAAGAAACTTCCTTGATTATGAAGCTCTTCGTAGACGAGTAGTCAAAGCACGTCGGATCAAACGGTTGACGCATACCCCTATCAAACAGGGTGAGGCATACCCTATATATATATATATATATATATATATATATATATATATATATATATAACCTCTGTCAGTGTTTTTATTTCTTTTGACTAGGCATTGCGGTGCTGATTGATTATTTTCTACCAACACGGATGTTTTTAGTCTTTTCTTTTTTTTACTGATTTTTTTCCCTGATTTGTTCAAATATATTTTTATTTACAAATTTTATTATACGTCTTTTTTTATTCACGCCGCCAGTGTATAGGTTTTAAAATAATAATACATAATATATATGTGTGTGTGCATGTGTGTGTGTATGTGCGTGGGTGGGTATGTGTGTGTGTGTGTGTACGCGTGACAAATGGAAAACGATCAATTGAAGCTTGATTTGATTACGCGTTTCACCTTTCTATGCTTCATCAGATCCAAAAACGTAAGAAAGAAATGTGTGTGTGTGTGTGTGTGTGTGTGTGAGAGAGAGAGAGAGAGAGAGAGAGAGAGAGAGAGAGAAAGAGTATTTGCGCGTATGCTTACATAATGAATCATAGTACTTTTTTTCCCTAAGCTGGCGTTTCTCGTCATTAAAGAAAGGAAATGAGTGATTTAAAAAAAAAAAAAAGCTGTTAATATTTATTCTGTATCGTTTCTGTTTAATTCTTAGTTCATGTTATTTTTATGTCTGTCCATGTGTAAATGCAAAATTGTCTAATTGTTAGATTAAGCTCTGAACCGTTGTACATTAGAAATGATTAAAGATATCTTACTGGAATTCTCCAAGTTTTTTATAAAACTATTGAACTTTACTTTGAGCAATAAGAATATAGAATTACTCTCTAAGCTTAACAGAAGTATCGTGTTGAAATCGATTATAAACGAAAGTGACATGATCATCATTAATTAATTATAGCTAAGGATCGGAAGCTCATGAAGGATTGAAATAAATATATATATATATTGATGCATGTTTCATTAAATAATATAGACAAGTTTTGTCTATTTATTTTAAGTAAGTTCCTTTCATATTGTCTGATAAGATTAATAACATTATCATTGAAAGAAGAAAGAAAATCACCATATTGATACATGTTTTTTAATCTTATCTAAGCTTTCGGCTTACATACGCCATTATCAAAGATGACAATTACATTTCAATATATCAAACAATACACATATAATAATGATAGTCTGTTTTTGATGCACTAAAAATTTCAAAGCAACGGCAAACTCGTGTATACGAGACGCGGAAGCGAAAATCGCATCGCAGCTCCTGACGTCACGCATGACCACGAAGGAGTGTAAACGAGAAGTATTAAATATGGGAAGCCGTTGGTATAAACCAATAGCTTCTCTTATCAATTATAGACATTTAAGAATATTTGTGGAGATTTCATTGTTTATTTTGTTCAGTAAGTATTTTGTTGTGTAAGCCGAAAGCTTAGATTGGATTTAAACATATATCAATATGGTGATTTCCTTTCGTCTTTCAATGATAATGTTATTAAGTTTATCAGACAATATGAAAGGAACTTAAAATAAATAGAGAAAACTTGTCTATATTATTTAATGAAACATGCATCAATGAAAAATTGCTGCCTAAATACGCACTATATATATATATATATATATATATATATATATATATATATATTATAGTAATTCGTCGAGCCCAGAAGAATCCTCAACAGAATGCACAAAGCACTGGACGGCCGTTTAGTCCTATCTGGGACTCATCAGCAGTGCGCATCCATTACCGAGAATCGAACCCGGACCGTTTCGATACAACGCAAAAGATCTTAAAGTTGTTTTGTGTCAACCCCACTGTCTTATCAAATGATCAGTGAAAAAGACTTGAAAATGAAATCGTTCGTGAAATGTGTGAGGTACCTTCAATTATACGTTCCTATTGCTCAAATTAAAGGTTTTATAACACCATTGGACTCTACTTTGTACAGTAAAAATGTATAGATATATATATTCCAGGATCATTTTCCAACTTATTCAAGATGATTTTCGCCCTTCTAACCTTCTGTCCTGAAGTATCAATATGCCTCACAGATTTCACGTTCGATTTCATTTTCAAGTCTTTTTTCACTGCTCTATGAACTGTCATAGCCGAAACTTCTCTCACACGCGCCAAACGTGTCAACGTCTGATGGATTGAGTTGGATCTTTTCTAATTGATCTCTATAGCTCTAACTGGAAATGATAATAGCTCTTCCTGTTGTGACCGCCAAATACACTTTTCCTCTCTCCTCTTTTCTCTTTCTTAAACTTACTCTCTTGATGGTTCTAGAATGGTCTTTGAAGATGGAAGTCAGATTATGAATGGTGGTACCATTACTGAAGGCCTATATAGTAAAATTACCAGCAATACAATTTTAAAGCAAAATGACCAACAATACATTTTATAGGAAAATAACCAACAATACATTTTATAGTAGAATTAGCAACAATGCATTTTATAGCAAAATGACCAACAATAAATTTTATAGTAGAATTACCAACAATATATTTTATAGCAAATTGACCAACAGTACATTTTATAGTAGAATTACCAACAATACATTTTATAGCAAATTGACCAAAAGTACATTTTATAGTAGAATTAGCAACAATACATTTTATAGCAAAATGACCAATAATACATTTTATAGCAGAATTACCAATAATACATTTTATAGCAAATTGACCAAAAGTACATTTTATAGTAGAATTAGCAACAATACATTTTATAGCAAAATGACCAACAATAAATTTTATAGTAGAATTACCAACAATATATTTTATAGCAAATTGACCAAAAGTACATTTTATAGTAGAATTAGCAACAATACATTTTATAGCAAAATGACGAATAAAACATTTTATAGCAGAATTACCAATAATACATTTTATAGCAAATTGACCAACAGTACATTTTATAGTAGAATTACCAACAATACATTTTATAGCAAATTGACCAACAGTACATTTTATAGCAGAATTACCAACAATACATTTTATAGAAAATTGACCAACAGTACATTTTATAGTAGAATTACCAACAATACATTTTATAGCAAATTGACCAACAGTACATTTTATAGTAGAATTACCAACAATACATTTTATAGCAAATTGACCAATAATACATTTTATAGCAGAATTACCAATAATACATTTTATAGCAAAATGACCATTAAAATTAAAGTAATATTGCGAAATGTTATAATTAAGCAGAGTTTAACGTATATGCTCGTGTATAGTACGAGTTTTTGTGATCAGATTTTAAACAAATAACATCGGGTCGCACTATATACAAGTTATTTTTTAAGGGGTTAAAAATCGTACATTATAATGGCGTTCAAAAATATTTCGTTGAAGCTATAAAACTGTTTTTTAAATATTTAGATTTTGACATTGATATGCCGCTAAACAAAATCAACCAAGCGAACAATTCTTTCATGACATTAATCTATATAATATCCCACAGTTTCTTAAAGAAATCAAACGATATTCGAAAATATAACTTCAAGAAAACAACATAAAACCCACATATCACCTCCTCTAGTATTTATGTCCGCACAAACATGTATATGCGCAAATGCTGAGTATTATCTACCATGTATTCAACTGTGAAAGCAGAATAACATATATCATATCTTTATTAATTTAAAGCTTCGAAGAAAATTTCGGCATTAAATGACCCATAAATGAGTTAATATGCCGTTAAAAAATGCTGTATTTGTGAGTTTAATTTTTTTTTCTTTAGATTTCTTTAAGGCACGGGCTATCATGAATCTCTTCAGTGAGTCAATCGGAACCTTTTCCAAACAATCCGAGTGCTCCAACTACAACTGGAATTACTGATGTCCTAACGTGTCACATTTTTGAGACTTCGAATTCAAGATCCTTGTATTTTGATAGTTTTATTTGAAGATCTTCAAAGATACATTACAATCTGCAGGGACTGCCATGTCAATAAGAAAGCGCATTCTGTTCTTGACGTCTTTGATCACGATGACTGGGCGATTAACTTTGATTGTTATGTCTATGTATATTATAAAGTCCCATAAAATTATTACAGGTCCTATCTCTTTAACCGGATCTGGGTGGTGTCCATACAAGTTTATAGCCGTTTCCTTCCCCTCAAAATTTGTCATGTAGTGTTTTATATTTAAGTGGGTGCTTTAAAAAAAAACGAGGAGAAACAAGAAAAAAATTATCACGAATTAAATACAGTAAAAAAAAATAAATAAGGAATTTTTCAGATGAAGAAAAAAATGAGAAAATATTTCTGATGTAGAATATCGAAGAAAATAAAGAATAAAATTCTCTGATAAAAATGAATAAAACGAAAAAGAAAAATTTAATAATTTACTGACGAAAAATGATGAAAATTAGGAAAAAATATTATTAAGAATATACAAGGAAATGAGAAAAGAGAAAAAAATGCTGTTGAAGAATATAGAATAAGATACAAAAAGAAATATTTCTGATGGGAAAAAATCGGAAAAATAAAATAATATCTGTAAAAGAATATAGAAGAAAAAAATGTCCAATAAAGAATTAAGAAAATAGAGAATAAATTTTCTTGATGAAAAAACAGGAAAAATAAAACATTATTGAAAAATAATATAGAAAAAAAGAAAGAAAAAAATGTTAATGTTAAAAAAAGAAAATTTCTGATAAAAAAATTTTCATGGTGAAAAAATAGAAAAAGTATTTTTAAAATTATACAAAAGAAAAGAAAGAAAAAATTTCTAATAAAAAAAAGAAAAAAATAAGAAAAAAAGAAAAAAATAAGAAAAAAAGAAAAAAATAAGAAAAAAGAAAAAGGAAAAAAGAATTTTTTTTAAAAAAATCTCGTAATGAATAAAGAAAATAGAAAAGAAATTTTTCATGTTGATGAAAACAGAAAGAAGAAAAAAATGTTTGAAAATATAAAAGAAAAAAAAAGAAACCATTTTTAATGAAGGAAAGAGAAAATATAAGAAAGGAAATTCGATAAAGAATAAAGAATGTAGAGAAGAATTTTTTCTGAAAAAAACAAAAGTGAAAGAAAAGAAATTCCGATGAAGGATATAAAATTCAATGAAGAAGTATTTTGTCTGAAGAAAACGAAAGTGAAAGAAAAGAAAGAAATTTCGATGAAGGATATAAAATTCAATGAAGAAGAATTTTTTTTCTGGAGAAAATGAAAGTGAAAGAAAAGAAAGAAATTTCGATGAAGGATATAAAATTCAATGAAGAAGTATTTTGTCTGAAGAAAACGAAAGTGAAAAAAAAGAAAGAAATTTCGATGAAGGATATAAAATTCAATGAAGAAGTATTTTGTCTGAAGAAAATGAAAGTGAAAGAAAAGAAAGAAATTCCGATGAAGGATATAAAATTCAATGAAGAAGTATTTTGTCTGAAGAAAATGAAAGTGAAAAAAAAGAAAGAAATTTCGATGAAGGATATAAAATTCAATGAAGAAGAATTTTTTTTCTGGAGAAAATGAAAGTGAAAGAAAAGAAAGAAATTTCGATGAAGGATATAAAATTCAATGAAGAAGTATTTTGTTTGAAGAAAATGAAAGTGAAAGAAAAGAAAGAAATTCCGATGAAGGATATAAAATTCAATGAAGAAGTATTTTGTTTGAAGAAAATGAAAGTGAAAGAAAAGAAAGAAATTCCGATGAAGGATATAAAATTCAATGAAGAAGTATTTTGCTGAAGAAAACGAAAGTGAAAAAAAAGAAAGAAATTTCGGTGAAGGATATAAAATTCAATGAAGAAGTATTTTGTCTGAAGAAAATGAAAGTGAAAGAAAAGAAAGAAATTCCGATGAAGGATATAAAATTCAATGAAGAAGTATTTTGTCTGAAGAAAATGAAAGTGAAAGAAAAGAAAGAAATTTCGATGAAGGATATAAAATTCAATGAAGAAAATTTTTTTTCCTGAAGAAAATGAAAGAGATTCCGATGAAGGATATAGAATTCAATGAAGAAGAATTTTTTCTCTGGTTCCGAAAAATAAAGAATCTTTCAAAGAATTTAATCTAAGGCAACAAATAAGAAAAGAATGAAAAAAGAAGGTAAAAGTAAAAAAGCAACAAAAAGAAAGTAAAAAATCGTTTGAAAAAAAAGAAAGAAAGATTCTTTTTTTTTTTCTGATGAAGATAAATAAAAGAAAATTATCCGAAAAAGTTTTGAATGAAAAATGAAACAATGAGTTCAAAAGTTATTTAAGGAAAAAAAATAAAAATAAAAAACAGGGTGACGAAGGCAAACTCTTCCCTAATCAAAAACAAACAAAAAAAAATGGCGGTGTCAAAAAGAATTGAGTGTTTGAGACACAGAAAGAAAAAAAAACGAAGAAGAGAAACCAGGGAGACGTGCTAGAAGCTCTGTCATCACATTTTCCTCTTTCGGCTGGGATATTTTAGCCTGCCAAAACTGACACCAGGTGGCGTTTAATTACTTGAAAGCGAAAACTATAAATATCTTTCCACTGAGAAAATCAGATAAAAAATAACTTGCACTATTAAAAGTGCAAGAATTCGTGTACACACACACACACGCACACACAGCACACACACACACATACATAAATATATATAGTTATCTCTCTCAGACACACACACACACACACACACACATACATATATATATATATATATATATATATATATATATATATATATATATATATATATATATTGAACAATAAGAAAAAAAAAATAAAAAATTAAAAAAATTAAAATCATTAGACACACACTGGTTTGTAGATTAATATTCTTTCGTTTTTTATTATTATTATTCCATTTAGATTCCTCGACTAGTTTCGACCGAAATGGCCATCATCGGGAGGAGAAATTAAATATTTCTGCTTGCTGTTAGCAGTGAACTACAGAAATGAATGTCTTTTGTTGGAGAAAATGAACTTTTGTCTGTAGTTTTCATTTGTTTTTTTATTTTTTTATCTTTTTCACATGAATCTTTTAACATATATATATATATGAACAACTATAGTTTAAAGGTGTGCTCAAAATCCGAGATAGAGCTTATGTAAATATAAAAGTGAACATTGAAGTCAATACACAGAAGCGACAGGATGTTTCATGATAATAATAATGGTAAGGAAACTTATACTTACAATCAGAAAGAGACAGTTAAAATCTCTGGGACGCATAATGAGAAAAGAGGGTTTGGGGAATTCGTCACTCGCGGGAGACATGAAGGCAAGAGAATCAAGAGGAAAACACTGAGTTGCCTATCTAACACGTTCGTCTGAATAGGCGGTAAAATTGACAAAGCGGGAGGGTAAAAACTCAAAAGGCTCGCCCAGCGAAAGAGAGGAAGATGTCGAGAGCCACGATCGCCCAAATCCTGAAAGGACATGATACATAAAAAGAAAAATTCCTCTCATATGCCAACCAGTCTTTACTATTCTTTTTGCTTTTTCGTTTTTTCTTCTCATTTTTTGCTGCATTCTTTTTTTTATCGGAATCACCCCAAGCAAGGCACTAAAGCGACTAAAACACAAGGGTTATAGGACATGAAAGAATTAGGAACAGAAACATTAATAATGAGATGAAAAAGAAAAGAGTAATCAGAAGGACAGTAGACAATAAGTCTTTTCTTAGCTGCAACCACTTTTTTTTTCTGTGGACTATTTAAAAGTCTTTTCTAAACTTCGGATTTTTCTGTGTCCCAGCTAACCAAAGACTTTAATTCAACAAAAACTTAAAAGCTTTTTACCTCCCACCATTTTTTTAAACCCTTTTGAATTCATGTACATATGTTTGCAAATACAAATGATTTATTTAACCCATGTATTTTAAGTATACCCATGTTTTCTTTATTTTTCGGATTTTCAATATAAAAAAAAAAAAAACAAAGCTGGAAGACAGAATTTCCCACACTTAATAAAACATATTATTTTCTTTCTGATTCCACAGGGAAAAATAGACTGAATATAATTTTTTTTTATTTTATTTTTCCATGTGATTTTGAAATTCATCCAGTTCAGTTCATTAGAATATTATTTTTGTTAATTAAATAAAAATATGTTTGAAGAATAAAAAAATGTAACGTTTAATACCATTTTCAAGTGTAAACATTTTTAAAATAATTTTTTTTTTCATTTAGCAACTGTTAAATTATTTTTTATACGGAAGTTCAAAAAGGAAATAATACTGAACTATCGTTTTGCAGATTAAAGTTGGCTTGAAAACATGGACACGGAAGGGAGTTACACAGAAAGAAAAGAAATTGTCAGCATAGAATTTACGGCTACATCTCGCCAGCTCAACTGTAAATTGATGAGATATCGACGCCAGTTCAAAGGGAAAAGGACGGTCTTCATCTGTCTTAACTTTAAACTTAACTAGCCACAAACACAGACCCAAACATACTACAATATTCCTAACACCAAAACAACACATTCTTACTTACCTTTCTTACTGCATCCACCATAATACCTCATTGTCTCTATGGAAGTCCTAACTAGTCCTCCTATATACCATAGTGAAGAGTTCACCGAACAATTACTATAAAAGTTTGTTTGTTTGTTTGTGTTTTACGGCATATCAACCTCGTTGGGTTATTTAGTGCCAATAATAGATACCCGGGCTTTGATAACTAGATAGATAGGTTGTCATTCCTACTTCGATATAAAGATATATATGTTGATATTTACACCTTGACAATCAGATAGAGAGCTTGATAATCACACTTCGACATATAGATAGATATTCTGATATTCCGGCCTTAGAGGCTCTTGCAAGTACTTTAGCAGAGCTTAATCGTGGCGTTGGGTTAAGTTATAAAACCATGAAAGTATTTATCGAAAAAGGCATAGAGAGGCAACCTTAGAGCAGCCGGAAAGTGATTGGAGCTGAGACGCCAGATCAGGACCAATAATATTGCTGATTCTTCTTTGGATCATATCGAGGAGCGCAAGGGAAATATCAGGGGCACTGGACCATATATAGCAGCAATATTCCAAGCGTCGACGAATGGTAAACTTATAGATACAGAAAAGCTGATGATGATGATGATGATGATGATGATGATGATGATTGCCACAGTAGTTAAACTTAACTTCAATGCTAATTCATACCCTGCCACCGAGCCTAAAATATGCTGACTGTAATTCTTCAAATGAGTTGCCTACAGGGTTGGGGATGCTTGCTTAATCAGGTATATAAAACCAATGAAAGATAATTGAATTTCACAGCTAAACAAATACCATCTCCTTTAAGATTTACAATGATTACTTGTCGATTATCACAAAGGAATGCAATGTCGGTTATCCCAGATAAATAAATACCATATCCCCTGAAATTTATAATGAGATCTTGTCGATTACCTCAGCTAAATAAATACCATAACCCCTGAAATTTACAATGAGATCTTGTCGGTTATCCCAGATAAATAAATACCATATCCCCTGAAATTTACAATGAGATCTTGTTGATTATCTCAGCGAAGCATATAGCATCTCCTCTGAGATATATAATGAGATCTTGTTTACCATCTCCTTTAAGATTTACAAAGAGAGCTTGTCGATTATCTCACCTAAATAAATACCGTGTAATCCAAAATTTACATTGACTATAAACACGGGCAATGTTTCTCTATATACTGAAGTATATCCCGACAAATTTTGCCTATAGACTCAAGTAAAAACATGAACTACTTTTACCTATAACCTCGAGAACAAGAACGATCAATGTTTAACTATAGACAATATAAACACGACGTGTGCTTACCTATAATTTGAAGTATAAACACAACTATTGTGTACCTATAGACTAAAATTTAAATATGAACAATATTTCATATATACTCAAGTATAAATACGACCACCATGTATCAATAGACTCAAATATCATCCAGACACAATAAACTTATTGTCTCAAGTATAAACACAACCAATATCATATCTATAATTCTCAAAATGTATGCGTGTGGTGGGTGGTTGGATATTGCTTATGGTTATGTTTCGATTAATTTTTTTTGTTTGTTTGATAGATAATTCTTCAGTTTCGATTTTGAGTCCAAATTGTCTGGAAAAAATTACAACCTTAAAGGTGAAAAATCGAAAAAATCTGATTTTTTACACTTTGTGCAAAAATCAAAGCCAAAAGTTAATTTACTTTTCACACATAACCTTCTAACCCTAGCTTATTGTGTGTGGGCGTGATTCACACCTCCACACGTTGCCCATCCGTTGCTGCTGACCTCGATAATTAGCGTGTGCAGCAACGTGTGTACGCGTGGCCCTGCAACACGTGATGTGTCACACGCTGATGCACGCACATACGCATGTCCTGGGTAACGCAACAGCTGTTCGAGTTGCCCATTGGCTACACGAAGCTCCTTTACATGTTCAATCAATTGTAGTCGTGTCATACTACTTGTCTACGCAGTCCTAAGCTCATTGATACCGCTTAATTCCACAATTCCGCTTCTACTTCTGTACGTCCAGCCTTGTTTACACATTCCCCTTCTCTTGGCCAAGTGTCAGTCTCTCTCAAAACAGGTTACTTATCCCATTGTATAAAGCCTACTACTACAGTTTTAAGGCATTGCTTTGTTAATTATAGCCGTTCACATTTCTTTTATAGTTATGCCACTTTTTGCATTGCATTCACCGGAGTAATAAGTAACCTTGCATTTTTATAACTCAAAATTTATTTTTCCCAAATTTTTTAAAGGTATTCGAGCTTAGTGATCCCTGTAGCTTTACAGCGTTCTCTTCTGGTATTTGCCCACGCATTCCATTTGACAATTCATACTTACCTAAGACATGCCACCAAAGAAAAGAACTTGCCTAGGTCGCAAAACCGCTGCCGCCAGGTCCGCCGTGCGAATAAGAGATAACGAATCGTCTTTCGAACGTTCGGTCCGCCTGTCTCAAAAGGCTTCTCGAAATGCTTCAATCAGAGCCACTGGGTCCGAAGATCAATTAGCCATCGGCTTTCCAGAAGAGCATACCCGATCGCTTCTGCGCGTGAGGCTGGAAATGATGATCAAAGGACTCAACGGCTGAGGAGAAGCACCTCTTCAGTTGCTGCTGCGCGTGAGGCTGAAACAAGATTTAGAACGCAAAAACGGCCCTTTTCAGGGCGACCCCCATTCAAACTGTTAACCCCCTATTTAGGGATGTGCCTGGGTTTCACCCAATTGTTGTTACTAATATTAATTTTCGGGTGGGCTGACTTTAATCATCTGCTCCAACTGAACGGCAAAATTCCCAGTAATGAAAGACCCGGTCGAAGACGTGTTATACTGCTGAGATTAAAGTATAAATATCACCAATGTTTACTTATATACTCAAGTATAAACACAACCACTATGTACCAACAGATTGAAGTATATATCAAACCAAAGTTTACCTATAGACTCAAGCATAAACATGGCCAATATTTACCTATAGACTCAGTATAAAAACGACAAATGTGAACCTAAAGTCTCAATATAAAAAAGACCACTGTGTACCTATAGACTCAAGTATAAAAATGACCACTGTGAACCTATAGTCTCAAGTATAAAAACGAACAATGTGTACCTTTAGTCTTCAGTACAAAAACGACAAAAATGTACCTATAGTCTCGAGTATAATAAAAAATCAAATTTCGTCTTTGAATAACACAGGAGAATCTGATATGTCATCAAATACACCATCACATACCAAATTCAAAATTCGATATCTTAGCATTTTATGGTGGTCAAACACCGGCTACCGGCAACTTGGAAATTTCTTTTTAAGCGTTTCACCCCAAGCAAGGCAGGAAGGCAGTAGCACGCAAAAGGTTACAGAGAGTGGGGGCGAGAGCAAAGAGGGGTGATAAAGGAAAGGATGAACAGAAAGATAGGGGATAGATCAGGTCATCTGGAAACGTCGATTGACATTACATTTGAATAGTTGGAGATTATAGCTATCAGGGAAACAGGAAAAAGGGAGGGAGTTCCACAGGCGAGAAGTGCGAGCCAAGAAGCTATTGGAGTAGAAGAGACGGCTATATTTAACAGTTTCGACAACTATTTTAACCACTAATTCTGTCCATGCAAAGATACGTTTGGGCAGATCAAAATAGCACCTTGGAGACATAAACAAATATATATATATATATATATATATATATATATATATATATATATATATATATATAGGTATATGCGTAAAAGTGAAACGAGATGAATAAAAGGCGGGCATTTTCCCGCTAATCTAGAATTCCAGTCACTTTAAATGTTATTAACTTTACCTCTTTCGGCCATTATTGGCCAGGACGGGACGGGGTTTCTGTGTCTGACTTGGGGACAAAGGCCTTCGAGGCGGGCTTTTCGAAAAGTTGGATGAATCAAAGAGGTTGTGGCGAAGGTCAGTGGCCGGATTACAAACAAAGGTCATCGTGTGTCAATCAATTAGAGCCAACCCAACTCCGGTAATAAGGTCTTCTATATATGCCTACATCCTTATCACCCAGGCTTGTCTCTTCATCCAACCACCACCAGTTCACGAATACACACAGACACAAGCACGAACACTCACACGTATTAATAGGCATCAAGACACAGACACAGGACGCACACATATTCTCAACTAAAAAATGAAGGATTTGCGATTATATGTTTATATGTCCTTTTGTGCTTGTGTTAGTGTGCGGAACCTGCCCCAAAGTTTTAAAATTATTTTATATATATATATATATATATATATATATATATATATATATATATATATATATATATTGTGGTGAATTGATTAATATTATGTATATATATTATGATTAATATTATATATATATATATATGATATTAATCATAATATATATATATACGATTAATATTATATATATTGATTAATATTATATATATATATATATTAATATTGATTAATATTATATATATATAATATTAATCATAATACATATACGATTAATATTATGTATATATTGATTAATAATATATATATATATAATATTAATATTGATTAATATATATATAATATTAATCATAATATATATATATATATATAATATTAATCATATATATATATATATATATATAAAATAATTTTAATATATAATAATATATAAAATAATATATATATATATATATATATATATATATAATATAAATCAATTCACAAGAAGCAAGGCGATAATGACACTATGACAGAAGGGGATACTGGGAGGTAAGAGAATGAGAAAACTTTAGAAGGAATCGGAATATATATATATATATATATATATATATATATATATATATATATATATATATATATATATATACATAAGCAAATATATGGATATAGATCGACAGTATGAAGAAAAATATACGGAAAAACAAACAAAAATCCTTATATACAATTATGATGTTTTAATGTTAATATGTTGACGTTGGACATTTCGGTCTAATAAACCATCTTTAGGACATATTCATAAATATAATTAACATTTTATGAATAAGTCTTTGTTCTTATGTACATCGTCTTTGTCATGAATTAATTATTACATTTTATGAATATGTCCTGAAGATGGTTTATTAGGACCGAAATGTCTGACGTTGACATATTAACATTAAAACAGCATAATTGTATATAATGATTTTTGTTTTGTTTTTTCTGTATATTTTTCATATTCATATATATATATATATATATATATATATATATATATATATATATATATATATATATATACATACACAATACCATTATTAAAATAATAATATAATTACAATTTCAGGAGATTTTTAAAATATGTTACGCCTGCAGAGAAACATAAAATCCATTTAAAATATAAACATTAAAATCTCGCAGCCAACTTTACTTTTGCCATCAAGCTTCATAGGCACTGCCAGTTAAAAGTGTTTGTTTCCCCACGTGTTCCGCAGATTGCAAGAAATATTTAAACCTTTGGGAAATTGCATGCCAAATTTCCCCCACACAACTACCACAAAGGCGTATATACCACTTTAGTACATATATTTACATGAGTATGTAGAACGCACCCACAGCACCACCGCCCGTTTCCGTACTTTTAACCAGGGTCATGCTGAGCTAGAAGGTACTTACGGGTGTGTCCTCATTTTGCTATAATTTCCGTCCTTTTATTTAACAGCATATCCCGCTCGCTAAACAAAGCAATGCCCAGTTACAGCTTTTATGTCTAGTGTAGACAAATATATAAATTATAATATTAAACAAGAAATTAAACAGAAGCTGAAATTCAATTGTAGAAATTCCAATTTATGCCCTCTGTATGGTGCCTGTCTTTTTAATAATATTGTACACGAAGCAACGACAAAATTTGAAGAACTAAACTGGATCTATAGAAAGACCATTTAAACTGGTGATTCTCACCCTAGGCCTAAGAAAATTTAAAGTGGGATAGGATTTGGCCCAAGTAAAATATATTGCAGATTGAAAAGAGAATGAGACTTATGCCTGAAGTTGAAGCAAGGCTTGAAAGTTCAAATTGACAAGCGGATATCAGGAGCAGTGTCGTTATGATTCAGCTGTAAAAAAAAAATTATATATTTTACCAAGATTTTCTAAAAAGAAACATTTCAAAAATCAATATTATTCATTGCAGAATAAGCCCTGAAAGCTTCATTAAAATCTGACAATTATTTGATTTTACAAAGAATTTCCAAATCAATGTGTTTATTATCGCAAAAGGACGCTAAAATTTTCTAATTTATGTTCACTCGATGGCGCAAGAAAAAATTTATCAACCAAAATTTTGAAGCTTCTAAAAAGTATTAAAAAATATAATTTAATAATCAAAAAATTCTTTGTTCTTTCCTCTTAATAATAACTTAATGATTTTGGTTTGTTTCTTTGGTTTGGTTTGTTTTACGGTATATCACCCTCAATGGGTCATTTAATGCCGACAACTTTTTTTTCCTGGTAATATTTTTGTTTTGTTAAAAATCTATTTCTGGTAATATTTTTCCCCTCAGAATTGTATAGCTGGTAATATTACTTTGTAAAACGTATTGCTGGTAATAGTTTTTTTTTTTTTTTTCCTTCAAAAATTTATTTCTCGTAATAATTTTTTTACAAAGTATTTCTGGTATCAAAACCTATTTTTACACTTTCATAATGCTTTTTATTTCAGTTTCGGGGTTAACTATTTGCCCATAGCTGGGACCCTAACAGGTACTACCACCCCGAGTCAGGGTGGACCTCGGAACACCAGCAATTAAGAGGTGCTTCCACGGTCCTCAAAGCCTGCTGATCAGAGGCTTTGCTGTTGGACGTAGTTTATCGTCTTACCCTGGACGCGGATGTACTTTATCGTCTTACCCTGGACGCGGATGTACTTTATCGTCATACCCAGGACGCGGATGTAGTTTATCGTCTTACCCTGGACGCGGATGTAGTTTATCGTCATACCCAG